AGCAGCGAGGACTTCTTCCTGAGCGGCAGCAAGGACCGGACCGTGCGCCTCTGGCCGCTGTACAACTACGGGGATGGCACCTGCGAGACGGCCCCGCGCCTGGTCTACACCCAGCACCGCAAGAGTGTCTTCTTCGTGGACCAGCTCGAGGCCCCGCAGCACGTGGTGAGCTGCGACGGGGCTGTGCACATCTGGGACCCCTTCACAGGTGAGCGGGCCCAGCTGCAGCCTGTTCTGGGGGTGTTCCTGCGACCGCCAGGCCTCTGGGAAGGGGGCCCGGGAGTGGGGGCGTCATGCCCCAGAGTCTTCCTAGAAGAGTAGTTAGGGCTCAGAATCTGTTCTGCTTGGGTCTGCGTCAGCTCCACCGGCTTAGCTGCTGAGTGGCCCTGAGCGAGGTCCTGTTGCTGAAGCGTCCGCTGCCGTCTAAACAGAGCTCACGGAGGGTTTTGGCTTCATGTGTGGCAGATGGTATTTATTTCGCCAGTGGTGGCTTATTTTTTGGCATCACCATAGGGAGAAATAAGGTTAAAAGGGGGGAAGGGGTAGTGTCAGGGCAGACAGAGGGAGGGGGCACCGGGTCAGCGGCGCTGTGCAGAGAGAGGAGGTTGCTTTGGGGATGGGAGCCTGGCCTGGCCTTGGAGGCAGGAAGGAGGGAGGGTAAGGAAACTTGTTTAGGCCAGACGCGGTGGCTCACTCCTGTAATCCCAGCACTTTGGGAAGCCAGGAGTTCGAGACCTGCCTGGCCAACATGGCAAAACCTTGTCTCTACTAAAAATACAAAAAAATTAGTGGGGCATGGAGGCAGGCGCCTGTAATTCCAGGTACTTGGGAGGCTGAGGCAGGAGTATTACTTGAGCCCGGGAGGTGGAGGTTGCAGGGAGCCACGGTTGCACCACTGCACTCCAGCCTGGGCGACAGAGCAAGACTCCGTCTTCAGCATTTCCTAAGGCTCCCTGGGGACTGGGAGGCAGATATGGGATGAGCTAGGGGGTTAGAAGTGGCCAGAGCTCTCCCAGCAGCTGCTGGCCCCAGATCCACTGGCCTCTCCTCCCCAGGGAAGACCCTTCGCGCAGTGGAGCTGCTGGACAGCCGGGTGCCCCTGACGGCGGTGGCTGTCATGCCCGCCCCCCACACCAGCATCACCATGGCCAGTTCCGACTCCACCCTGCGCTTTGTGGACTGCAGGAAGCCTGGCCTGCAGGTCAGGGGGCATCCAGCGCCCTGAGCACTCGCCTGGTTCTCTGGGGACCTGACAGGGAGGAGGGACTCCCCAAAGACGGAAAGCCAGGATGTTGTTGGGGCACTGTTACTTTCTTTGGTACCAGCTCACCCACAGCAGCACCCCCTGGGGGGCAGGACCCCGGCCTGTGAGTGGGGTGGGGTTCTGGGCTTGTCCTGCCCCTCCATGAGGGTCCCAGCTCAGGCCTTCCTGCCGTGTGGGCTGCGGTGGTGAGCAGGGCCTTGGGGAGCGGGGGTCGGAAGGTCGGGCCTCAGCTCAGCTGTCCTCTTTGCAGCACGAGTTCCGCCTGGGCGGTGGGCTGAACGCCGGGCTTGTCCGCTCCCTGGCAGTCAGCCCCAGTGGCCGGAGCGTCGTGGCTGGCTTCTCCTCGGGCTTCATGGTGCTCCTGGACACCCGCACGGGCCTGGTTCTGCGAGGCTGGCCAGCCCATGAGGGGGACATTCTGCAGATCAAGGTGATGGGCCAGGTCCCCTTCCCTTACCGCCCAGCCCCCGTCCCTCTCCCTTCATCACCCCTGCTTGGGGCCCGCCTGCCTGGGGACAGGCTCCAGCCAGCATGTCTTATATACCTGGCAGAGGATCAATGGGCAGGGAGGGAGGAGCAGGTCTCGAAGCTGGGGCCTCGGCAGGCGTCAGGCCGTGGGGGCGGGAGCCACGGGGGCTGAGCTGACCCTGTCAGATGTTCTAATGAGTAACCCTTGTCCATATTTGTCTTGTTAGGAGGAGCAGGGGTCAGGCCCTGTCCGTGACCCAGTTCGGGTTAAATAAGCTCAGCTGGGAGGCTGTTTACTGCCCGCAGACCACTGAGCAGAGTCCATGGCCTGCTGGGCTGCCCTGGCGAGGGCAGGGGCACACCTGGGCATGGGGATCCTGCCCTACCGCCTCCTCTCCTCCTTCCCGCCCCCCCCCTCCCCTGTTCTCAATCATAGGCCTCAAGGAGCTGCTCAGGGAGGCCCAGGAGGGGAGGAACAGGGACGATTTCTACAGGCAGCTGGGTCTTTCCTCCCATTGCGGCTGGAGGCCAGGCGACATGCGTGGCCCTGCTGAGAGCAGGCTGTGGCTGGCTCCCTCCCGGGCCCCAGGAACCCTGAGCTCCAGGGGCCTCTAAATTCTAACTTTCCAAGAGTTTGTCAGAAGGCTCTGGGGTCAGCCTGGGTATTAATCCCGACTCTGCTACTTCTTGGCCCCGTGACTGTGGTGTGGTTACATCATGTCTCTGAACCTCAGTTTTCCTCTCTGTAAAATGGGGACAATGGCAGCACCCACCACATAGGGTTGTTATGAAGGTCATGTGTGGTCACGTGCTTGCTCAGCACAATGCTTGTACGTAGCTCTCAAGTTAGAGTGACCACTGGGTTACTGATGCTGAGTGTATTCAAATGAACCAGGCTGAATATGGCATGGGAGGGTGGTGGCCTGTCACCCACCCAGGACGGCCTGTCTTCCTGGAGAGACTGCAGAGGGAAATGAAGGCCTCGGGGCTCCGGGGTGTACAGAAGGACCCGGGCCCGGGCTGAGGCTCCCCTCTCCCCGGACAGGCAGTAGAGGGCAGCGTCCTGGTCAGCTCCTCTTCTGACCATTCTTTGACCGTCTGGAAGGAGCTGGAGCAGAAGCCCACGCATCACTACAAGTCGGCGTCTGACCCCATCCACACCTTTGACCTGTATGGCAGCGAGGTGGTCACCGGCACCGTATCCAACAAGATTGGTGTCTGCTCCCTGCTGGAGCCGCCCTCCCAGGCCACCACGAAGCTCAGCTCCGAGAACTTCCGCGGCACGCTCACCAGCCTGGCCTTGCTGCCCACCAAACGCCACCTCCTGCTGGGCTCCGACAACGGGGTTATCCGCCTCCTGGCATAGGCTGGGGCCGGAGCTGGTCAAGCAAGGGTGGGGAAGGCATCCCCCCAGGGGCGAACCCTTGCCCTATTCCCCAGCAGCAGCTCCCTCCAGGGAGGCCCTGGGCCCCACACCCTGGGTGCCCACATGGCCTGCCAACCAGGGTCCCCAACTGGGGTTGGGGAGTCCTGGCCTCTGAATCGCCAGAGCCAGCAAGGCTGCCAGAGGGGTCTCATTCATGGCCTGGGGCACACTGCTCCTAGCAAGCAGGAATTAAGAACAGGAGTAAGGACAGCCACCTTCACTTCTCCCCAGCTCTGCCCTCCGGTCCACGTGAGGACAGGGAAACTCGGCCCTGCCTGGCCAGTCTCTAGCCCCTCAGCCCCCGCTGGGCGCTCTCTGCCCTGTCCCTCCAGGACAGGGGGACTGCCCCAGTCCAGGGTGCTGATGGTGCTGGGATTCCAGCCTGAGGAGGGCAGTCCAGGAGCTAAGCGCCTTGGTCTACGGTTCAAGTGTCCACCCATCCAGGGCCTGGCCAGGGTGGGACCAGGAGGGGAAGGAGTAAAGAGAAGGTGCCCTCTGCCAGCAGCCCTTGGCCTCCAGGAGTGAGCCCATGCCTCGCCTCCCACCCCTAACCACAGTGTTTGTGCCTTGAGCTGAGGAGGCAGCCTCTGGTCCCTGAACCCCTGCTGGGATCCATGACCCTGAGGGGAGGGGTGAGAAGAACCATCTCTGCCCCTCAGGTCTCTGCACCTCAGCCTCACGTTCGAGAACGGAGCTGAGGCCTGGGGTGGCGCCTGCTGCCTCCTCACAATTTGCAATAGATGTAAATATGACCAATAAATCCTTTGGAAGGGCCATGGGGTGAAATGAGGCTTGTCTCGTGTGTTTTCCAAGAGATGCAGCCCCACCGTGTATGTGGCCCAAGCCGGCCTCCAACTCCTGGGCTCAAGCCACCCTCCTGCCTTGGCCTCCCAAAGGGTTGGGATTACAGGTGTGAGCCACCGTGCCCAGCCTGAGGCTAATCTCGATGGTGGGGTCAGGGTGGGCCAAGGGGAGACCCGGCAGTGCCCGGGGCAGTGAAGAGCCACCCACGGGGGTGGGAGGCAGCCTGATTGGTATGGGCTGCGAGCCTTCTAGTTCCCGAAGCCCACCCAGGTGCGTTTCCAGGACTCTCACTCTGGGGTAGGGGAAAGAGACACTGCTCTGGGGAGGCAGGACACAGAGAGAGGTGACCCCTCCCATCTCTCCTCCCTCACCCCTGCCTTCCAGGCTTGGTCTGCAGCCAACTTGGATCTGGGCTTGTAAGGTGGGGGTGGGCGTCCCATCCCGGGTCTGTAACGTGGGGGTGGGCGTCCCATCCCGGTTCTGTAAGGTGGGGGTGGTTGTCCCATCCCAGGTCTGAAAGGTGGGGGTGGGTGCCCCATCCCCGGTTGGTAAGGTAAGGTGGCGCCCTATCCCAGGTTTGTAAGGGTGGGGGGTGGGTGTCCCATTCCCGGGCTCTCTGCATAGACTCCTGTGGCTTCCCCGGTCGCTCTGTGGGAGCAGGAGGCAGCTCTTGGGAGGGGAAAGGACACTCGACGTGAGGATCTGGATGTGACTCAGCACCGCTCTGTGTCCTTGGCCAGGTCACATGCCCTCTCTGAGCCTGAGTGAAGCAGGGATGACCCACGCCTCATGGGGTCTCTGGAAAGCTCAGCACACTGCCAGGTTCCTGTGCCTTCCGGATCTGCCCTCCTGGCCACCCAGGTCCAGCCTCTTCATCTCTCTCCTCCTGAACCTCCTTCCAGGCTCACGTGGGACCCAAGTCCATGGGGTCCTCCGTGGCTGCCTCAGGGTCACACGCCTGGCGGGAAAGGGGCTTCTGGCTTCAAGATCAATGTTTAACCGGATGTGCCAGTCAATGTTTACCAGAAGAGAACGCACTCTCCACGGGGTTGGCTGAGAGTAAAGGTCCCGGTGGGCGGAGGGGTGGGGCGGGCCGGCTGGAGCCCGTGCAGAGGGCCGGGAGCACCCAAGTGGGGCCAGAGGAACTTCGAGTGCGGCAGCAAGGAGCCCGCAGAGGTACGGGGGAGGCGGGTGGCTCGGCCTGCTCCCCGGGCGGCAGAGGAGGCAGGGAGCTGCCTTCCCCGCTGAGGGGTCTGGGCTGGATTGATTCAGGAGGCCTGTCACTCCCCAGCCGCCTCTGGCGGTACGGAGCCAAGGACTCCAGGAGGAGCACCTCTGGGACCTGAAACACTGGAGCCTGTTCTTGGCAAGAAGATTCAAACACCCAGGTCCGAGACAGGGCCTGGTCAGAGCGCTTGTGTGCGATGAGGGTGGGGCCAGGGGCCACAGAAGGACCCTCAGAAGGATTGGCTCCAAGATGGGGTGGGGGGGTGGCTGCGACACCTGCTCTGGCTTATCCTCCTGAGACTCACTCCTGCCCTTCCCAGAGCCAGCCTGGTCAGGGTCAGGGTCTCCACAGGCAATTCTGGCGAGAATCATTCACTGGGCTCTGCTGCTGGGTCAGAAGGCAGCACTCCGGCCGCCTCGCCAGCCCTGCTGAGACCTGAGGGCCTCACATGTATGTCCAGCCTCGTGGGCGAGACCCGAAAGGCCTGAGAAGACTGGCTCAGAGGACATAGCAGGTTGGGCGGGAGCTCTCGGGTAGAGGCTTTAGGGCAGGCTTCCTGGAAGAGGCAGCCTTGAGCCAAGCCGAACCCAGCCATCGGCGGGTGCCAAGTCTTGTACTCACAGTTTACAGAGACAGCCTTATTTTATCTTCATTTTTTGAGACAGAGTCTCGCTCTGTTGCCCAGGCTGGAGTGCAGTGGCACGACCTTGGCTCACTGCAACCTCCACCTCCCGGGTTCAAGCGATTCTCCTGCCTCAGCCTCCCGAGTACCTGGGATGACAGGCTTATGCCACCAAACCCAGCTAATTTTTGTATTTTTAGTAGAGACGGGGTTTCTCCATGTTGGCCAGGCTGGTCTCGAACTCCTGACCTCAGGTAATCCATCCGCCTTGGCCTCCCAAAGTGGTGGGATGACAGGCGTGAGCCACCGCGCCCAGCCACACAGACGGCCTTATTTTGGTCCTCACCGAGCATGTGAGAGGACTGAGGGACTCAGGCCACCATTTTAAAGGTAACGCCAAGCCTGGTGGGGTTAGGGGAATGCCAAGGTCCTTTGCAAGAGGCAATCTGGATTGAGACGCAGGTCTGCTGCACAGTGCGGGGCCTGGAAGGAGGGGAACATTTTGGTTTTTCTATTTCCCTCCTATCAACCAAAACACCTTCAGTGCACGAAATGTGAAAGACTGGAAACTTAAAAGGGGGAAGGATCCGGGGAGGGCTGTCCCGCCCCACAGGAGAGGGGGGCCGCTGCGCGTGTGTTGTTCTGACTCTGGAACCTGCTTCTTCCCCTTGGCGCTCGTGACTCGGGGCTTGGCGGTGTCTGTGAGCGTGTGGGTAGGAGTCCCTGGCGGGCATGGGGACGGGAGATGGGAACAGACTTTCTGTCCCTGCCACAGGAACATGGCGCTGCTCTGGGGGCTCCTGCTGCTCATCTCCTGCTCCGTGGTGAGGCTGGGCTGACCTCCAGGTGGGGTGGGGCGGAGGGGGAGAAGAGGGGCGGCGGTGTGGAGGGAGGGCTTGGCTCCCAGGGGCCCCTCCTAGCCTCACCCCTTTCTCCGCAGTTCTCTCCTGTGAGTGCCATGGAGCCGGTGGGCCAGCAGGTACTGGGGAGCGAGGAGCCCGTGATGGGGGAAGGCCCCGGGGTCTCACCGGTGGCCTGGGCAGGGTGGGGCCCCGTGGGGAGGGTTGCGCTCCAGCTCCTTCCTCCGTTCTGCAGCTAACTATGGGGCCGACCCAGGAGAGGGTGCTCCCGCTTACCTTCCTCAAGCTGGACAACCAGGTAGGACCAGGTGGGGCTGGGGAAGAGTGGGCGGGGCCAGAGGGAGGTGGCCACAGCAGTAGGGCCAGGGGCCGCAGCTGGGGTCGGGGGGCGTGGCGAGGCCGAGGCTCTGGAATCTGGAGGCCAGGAGGGACAGTGGGTGGGGAGGACCAAAGTTGGGCTCCAGGCCCCAGAACGCCCGTGCCCTCCGTCGGACGCCCCCTCTCCCCTCGGGCTGGGATCAGGCCCTGCTGTCCTCAGGACCTGCAACACAGAACTCGGAGCTGACCCATTGACCTCCCTGTCCCCTGATCTGCCCCCACAGGAGCCTGGTGGCCGGACTGCCCCGAAGAGTTCCCCAAGAGACTGCAGCGGAGACCCCACCCCACAGCAGACCCGAAGGCTGGCCGAGGCCATGATGGCCTTCACTGCCAACCTGTTCTCCCTGGTGGCAGAAACCTCCACCAGCCCCAACCTCATCCTGTCACCCCTCAGTGTGGCCCTGGCGCTGTCTCACCTGGCACTAGGTACCCTGGCACCACTTGTCCAGACCAAGAGAGATGGGAGGCTAGTAGGAACATGGTACTCCAGAGGTTCTCCAAGGGTGCCTCCTCTACCAGGTCACCTGGCTGCTGGGTTAAAAACTGCAGATTCCCAGGCCCCCACCCTGGGGGTGATCTGTGTGCATCAGATCTCAGGGACTGGGCGGGGGAATCTGCTTATTTACAAGTCTTCCAGGTGATTTGTTTGTGAGTCTGTCTGGGCAGAGTCTTGCTCTGTCGCCCAGGCTGGAGTGCAATGGCGTGATCTGAGCTCACTACAACCTCTGCCTCCTGGGTTCAAGTGATTCTCCTGCCTCAGCCTCCCGAGTAGCCAGGATTACAGGCACCCACCACCATGCCTGGCTAGTTTTTGTATTTTTAGTAGAGACAGGGTTTCACCCTGTTGACCAGGCTAGTCTGGAACTCCTGACCTCAGGGGATTCACCTGCCTAGGCCTCCCAAAGTTCTGGGATTATAGGCATGAGCCACCGCGACTGGCCTCGCCTGGTGATTTTTACGTGAGAGTTTGATAGCTGAACTCTCTCCCAGTGTGCTGGAGGGTCTTGCTCTGGGAAATGGAAGCCCAGAGAGGGAAGGTCACTTGCGAGACGTGAGGTCACCCAGGCTGTCAGCCACGGGGGAGAGACTCAGTCACGCAGAGCAGAACCGTGGCTGTGGGAGGGCGGTGTGTGGTCCTCACAGGTATCCAGGAGGGACTGGAGAGGGCAGTGGGGGTGAGAAAGGGCCCCAGCGGGCCTCAGCCAGTGCACTGCCCTCCAGGTGCTCAGAATCACACACTGCAGAGGCTGCACCAGGTGCTGTATGCCGGCCCCGGGCCCTGCCTCCCCCATCGGCTGAGCCGCCTCTGCCAGGGCCTGGGCCCCGGTGCCTTCCGACTGGCCGCCAGGATGTACCTGCAGAAAGGTGGGTGCTGAGGCCGGGGAGCTCACTCCGTCCTGCCCTGGGGTGGAGGAGGGTGAGAGACAGGGGCTGGGACTCTGGCAGCGGGTAGGAGCGTGGCTGGCCGTGGAGCCTGAGTCCCGGGGACAGCCTGTGCTCCCTCTGTGCAGGATTTCCCATCAAAGAAGAGTTCCTGGAACAATCAGAACGGATATTTGGTGCGAAGCCTGTGAGCCTGACGGGAAAGCAGGAAGATGACCTGGCAAACATCAACCAGTGGGTGAAGGAGGCCACGGAGGGGAAGATTCCGGAGTTCCTCTCCCAGCTGCCAGGAGACACGGTGTTGCTTCTGCTCAATGCCATCCACTTTCAGGGTGCGCTCCTCCTCCTCACACATCCCCCACCCGGCGTCACCCACCCCGGAGGCTGAGCTGGGATGTGCAGGCCTTTTTTTCTTTTTGAGACAAGTCTCACTCTTGTTCCCCAGGCCAGGAGTGCAGTGGTGCGATCTCAGTTCACTGCAACCTCCGCCTCCTGGGTTTAAACGATTCTCCTGCCTCAGCCTCCTGAGTAACTGAGATTACAGGCGCCCGCCACCACGCCCAGCTCATGTTTTTTTTGGATTTTTAGTAGAGATGGGGATTCACCATGTTGGCCAGGATGGTCTCAAACTCCTGATCTCAGGTGATCCACTGCCTTGGCCTCCCAAAGTGCTGGGATTACAGATGTGAGCCCCTGTGTCCGCCCCCCAACTTTTTTTCTGAGACGATTCTAGCTCTGTCACCCAAGCTGGAGTGCAGTGGCACGATCTCGGCTCACAGCAGCCTTTGCCTCCTGGGTTCAAGCTATTCTCCTAAGTAGCTGGGATTACAGGCATGTGCCACCACACCTGGCTAATTTTTAGTAGAGACAGGGTTTCACCATGTTGGCCAGGCTGGTCTTGAACTCCTGACGTCAGGTGACCTGCCCACCTCAGCCTCCCAAAGTGCTGGGATTACAGGTGTGAGCCACGGCACCTGGCCGTGCAGGCTTTGTTCTGAGGGTCCCCTTTCTCCTCTGTCTGGGCCATGAGGCAGGGGGCGTCTGGGTGTGGTGGGGGCGGGTGCCAAGGAGCCAGATGAGATTGTCCTAGAGGGAGTACCTGGGAACAGATGGTCTGAAAAGACCCAGGGAGATTCCTGGGGGCATTGCTGGGGTGGGGGGAAGCATGAGCCCAGATTTCAAAACCCTGCAGGAAAGAAACCTCAATCCACTGGATGCCACCAGCATTCCCTGGGGTCTTGGTCTCAACTGCTCTCCACCTCTTTTTTTTTTTTTTTTTTTTTTTTTGAGACAGAGTTTCGTTCTTGTTACCCAGGCTGGAGTGCAATGGCGCGATCTCAGCTCACCACAACCTCCGCCTCCTGGGTTCAGGCAATTCTCCTGCCTCAGCCTCCTGAGTAGCTGGGATTACAGGCACGTGCCACCATGCCCAGCTAATGTTTTGTATTTTTAGTAGAGACGGGGTTTCACCATGTTGACCAGGATGGTCTCGATCTCTTGACCTTGTGATCCACCCGCCTCAGCCTCCCAAAGTGCTGGGATTACAGGCGTGAGCCACCGCACCCGGCCTTGCTCTCCACCTCTTGAATGGGTGCTGGGTGGGATGGGCAAGGGGCTGGGCCCCATCTCCATGACCCCTGCCTCTGCCTGGTTGCAGGTTTCTGGAGGAACAAGTTTGATCCGAGCCTCACCAAGACAGGCTTCTTCCACCTGGACGAGCAGTTCACGGTGCCCGTGGAGATGATGCATGCCCCCACGTACCCGCTGCACTGGTTCTCGCTGGGGCAGCCTGAGATCCAGGTCGCCCCTGGTTGTCCAGCAGGCTGGGCCTGAGTGCTGGGAGGTGGGGAGGGGAGGGGGCAGGCTGTGGAGCTCGTACAGGGCTGGGTGGTGGGTGTCTCGCCTTCCTTGCTGCCACGTCCCAGGGGCGGGCAGTTCCAAAGGGTTCCATATCCCCTCTCCTACCCGGCAGGAGGACTCAGGCTCCAGGCTCTTTGAGGTTCATTAATTCAATGAAAACATAGGGGGCATTTGCTGTGTGCTAGATGCTGTTGTAAGCACTAGAGTTTTTGTGGCGCATGAGGGAGGCCAGGCCTCTGCTCTTAGGAGGGACAATCCATAGGGCAACAGCAAACGTCCATCAACACAGGAATGCCAGACAGCGGAAGCGCTATGTAGGGAAAACTGAAAGAGAAGGTGATTTTGGCCCCGGAGCGATGGCTCACACCTGTAATCCCAGCACTTTGGGAGGCCGAGGCAGGTGGATCACAAGGTCAGGAGTTCAAGACCAGCCTGGCCAAGATGCAAAACCTCGTCTCTACTAAAAATACAAAAATTAGCTGGGCTGCCGGGCGCGGTGGCTCAAGCCTGTAATCCCAGCACTTTGGGAGGCCGAGGCGGGTGGATCACGAGGTCGAGAGATCGAGACCATCCTGGTCAACATGGTGAAACCCCGTCTCTACTAAAAGTGCAAAAAATTAGCTGGGCATGGTGGCACGTGCCTGTAATCCCAGCTACTCAGGAGGCTGAGGCAGGAGAATTGCCTGACCCCAGGAGGCGGAGGTTGCGGTGAGCCGAGATCGCGCCATTGCACTCCAGCCTGGGTAACAAGGGCGAAACTCCGTCTCAAAAAAAAAAAAAAAAAAAAAAAAAATTAGCTGGGCATGGTGGTGGGTGCCTGTAGTCCCAGCTACTCAGGAGGCTGTGGCAGGAGAAATGTTTGAACCCGGGAGGCAGAGGCTGCAGTGAGTCGAGATTGTGCCACTGCACTCCAGCCTGGCGACAGAGCGAGAACCCGTCTCAAAAAAAAAAAAAGCTGGCCTCCAACTCCTGACCTCAGGTGATCTGCCTACCTCAGCCTCCCTAAGTGCTGGGATTGCAGGTGTGAGCCACCACGGCTTGCCTTATTTAGGTAGTTTAGAGTGGTCAGGGAGGATTCTTTGAGGAGGGGCACTGAACTGAGACTCAGGTGACCATTGTTGTTGTTTTTTTTTTTTTTGAGACAGAGTTTCGCCCTTGTTACCCAGGCTGGAGTGCAATGGCGCGATCTCGGCTCACCGCAGCCTCCGCCTCCTGGGTTCAGGCAATTCTCCTGCCTCAGCCTCCTGAGTAGCTGGGATTACAGGCACGCACCACCATGCCCAGCTAATTTTTTTGTATTTTTAGTAGAGACGGGGTTTCACCATGTTGACCAGGATGGTCTCGATCTCTCGACCTTGTGATCCACCCGCCTCGGCCTCCCAAAGTGCTGGGATTACAGGCTTGAGCCACCGCGCCCGGCCCAGGTGACCATTGTTGATGAGGGTTTATTCAAGGCCCTCAGACAGTGTCCTTAGAAGGGAGGATCTGATTGGATTGGATTTCCTGCGTCATCCTGCGTGGAACATTCTGATTGTATACACTTCTTTTTTTGGGGGGGACTGAGTCTCGCTCTATCCCCCAGGCTGGAGTGCAGTGGCGTGATCTCGGCTCACTGCAAACTCTACCTCCCGGGTTCAAGCGATTCTCCTGCCTCAGCCTCCCAAGTAGCTGGGACTATAGCGCCACCACGCCTGGCTAAATTTTGTATTTTTTAAAGTACAGACTGGGTTTCACCATTTTGGCCAGGCTGGTCTCGAACTCCTGACCTCAAGTGATCTTGCGTTGGCCTCCCAAAGTGCTGGGATATTACAGGCCTGAGCCACTGCGCCCGGCTCTGATTGGATAAAGTTCTGTGCCAAGCTGTCTCAGGTGTCGCCTCCCTTGCTTCTAGCCTAGCTGTGGTCCCCTTGGCCTGGGCATTGAGCCCTGGGTGGGACAGCTGTGGCTGAGAGGGCAGTGTTTGTTAGCTTCACAAGGCAAGTATGACGCAGAGCACCGCCACCTCTGCAGGGAGGGGCCGAAGCCACCTAGGCAGCCCTCCTGGGAGGGGCCGTGGGGGAGCGGGGCCGGGGCAGAGTGTCCTGGCTTCCCTCCAGCTCACTGTGGAAGGTCTGATTCACCGCCCCACCCGCCCCTCTTTTCCTGCTTCCTTTTCCCTCCACGCCGTGTCCTGCGCACCCTTCCTCCTGCTTCCTTTTCCCTGACACTGTGTCCTGAGCACCCTTCCTCCTGCTTCCTTTTCCCTCCACGCCGTGTCCTGCGCACTCTTCCTCCTGCTTCCTTTTCCCTGACACTGTGTCCTGCGCACTCTTCCTCCTGCTTCCTTTTCTCTGACACTGTGTCCTGAGCACCCTTCCTCCTGCTTCCTTTTCCCTCCACGCCGTGTCCCGCGCACCCTTCCTCCTGCTTCTGTTTCCCTACACACTGTGTCCTGCTCACTCTTCCTTATGCTCTGCCTCCTTTCCCTGGCTCCTCTGCCTTTCTCTTCCTCAGACCCTCTGCTGGCAAGCCCAAAGAGCCAGACGCCATGCTTATCCTCCTGTAAGCGGGGGTTCTGCGCACAGGCACTGTGCCTGGAACCCACGGTAGGACGCCCTCGAGCCCCGTGGTGCCCGCACAGCTTTCACTGCAGAATCCCTCCACGTGAAATCCTAATTGCTGAGCACTGTGGCTCACGTCTGTCATCCTAGCACCTTGGGAGGACAAGGCGGGCAGATAACGAGGTCGGGAGTTTGAGACCAGCCTGGCCAACATGGTGAAACCCCATCTGTACTAAAAATACAAAAATTGGCCAGGTGAGGTGGTGGGTGCCTGTAATCCCAGCTGCTCAGGAGGCTGAGGCAGGAGAATCTCTTGAACTCTGGAGGCAGAGGTTTCAGTGAGCCGAGGTCACGCCACTGCACTCCAGGCTGGCGACAGAGCAAGACTCTGTCTCAAAAAGAGAGAGAAAGAAAAGAAATCTTGGCCGGGCGCGGTGGCTCAAGCTTGTAATCCCAGCACTTTGGGAGGCCGAGGCGGGTGGATCACGAGGTCGAGAGATCGAGACCATCCTGGTCAACATGGTGAAACCCTGTCTCTACTAAAAATACAAAAAATTAGCTGGGCATGGTGGCACGTGCCTGTAATCCCAGCTACTCAGGAGGCTGAGGCAGGAGAATTGCCTGAACCCGGGAGGCGGAGGTTGCGGTGAGCCGAGATCGTGCCATTGCACTCCAGCCTGGGTTAACAAGAGCAAAACTCCGTCTCAAAAAAAAAAAAAAAAAAAAAAAAAAGAAAGAAATCTTAAGCCAAATCACAATATATATACACAGCTGGATGGGAGCAGGTGAAGAGAGAAACCCACATGTATTGAGCACTCTCTATGGATAGACACTACTGGAAACTTTTTTTTTTTTTTTCCTGGAGATGGATTTTCACTCTTGTCACCCAGGCTGGAGTGCAGTGGTGCAATCTCAGCTCACTTCAGCCTCCACCTCCCGGGTTCAAGGGATTCTCCTGTCTCAGCCTCCCGAGTAGCTGGGATTACAGGCATGTGCCACCATGCCCAGCTAATTTCTGTACTTTTAGTAGAGACAGGGTTTCACCATGTTGGCCAAGCTGGTCTCAAACTTCTTTTTTTTTTTTTTTTGAGACAGAATCTCACTCTATCGCCCAGGCTAGAGTACAGTGGTGCGATCTCGGCTCACTGCAACCTCCGCCTCCCAGGTTGAAGTGATTCTTCTGCCTCTGCCTGCTGAGTAGCTGGGATTACAGGTCCTTACCACCACGCTGGGCTAGTTTTTGTTGTTGTTGTTGTATTTTTAGTAGAGACGGGGGTTCACCATGTTGGCCAGGCTGGTCTTGAACTCCTGACCTCAGTTAATCCGCCCGCCTCAACCTCCCAAAGTGCTAAGATTATAGGTGTAAGCCACTGCACCTGGCCTGGTCTGGAACTTCTCTATTTTTTTTTTTTTTTTTTTTTTTGAGACAGAGTTTCGCTCTTGTTACCCAGGCTGGAGTGCAATGGCACGATCTCGGCTCACCACAACCTCTGCCTCCTGGGTTCAGGCGATTCTCCTGCCTCAGCCTCCTGAGTAGCTGGGATTACAGGCACGTGCCACCATGCCCAGCTAATTTTTTGTATTTTTAGTAGAGACGGGGTTTCACCATGTTGACTAGGATGGTCTCGATCTCTTGACCTCGTGATCCACCCGCCTTGGCCTCCCAGAGTGCTGGGATTACAAATGTGAGCCATCTCCCAGCCACACTGCTAGAAACTTTAAAAGCATCTCATTCGGTTTCATGTCCACCTGCAGTGGACAGGTGGTGTGACTCCGCCTCGCAGAGGAAGTGGAGTGTGGTCTGGGCATGGGCCGGCAGGGTGACCAGCAGCCCCAGCATCTGCCTGGCATGGCAGCACCTCGCCCAGCTCTGCACTTTCTGGTCCTCAGGCTCTTCCCTTCCTCATCTGCAGGTGGCTCATTTCCCCTTCAAGAACAACATGAGCTTTGTGGTCCTCATACCCACCCACTTTGAATGGAACGTGTCCCAGGTACTGGCCAACCTGAGTTGGGACATCCTGCACCCACCCTCGGTGTGGGAGAGGCCCACCAAGGTCTGGCTGCCTAAGCTGTATCTGAAACACCAAATGGACCTGGTGGCCACCCTCAGCCAGCTGGGTAAGGAAGAGGGTGTGGGCTGGCCGCCGAGGTCAGGCTGGGCAGGGCGGGCGAGGAGGAAGCCTGTGGCTGGCAGTGGGGCTGGGTCAGAGCCGGCCTTCGCCCTGCCCTTTTCCAGGGCTTCCGGAGGGGGAGAGGGTTGAATATGAACACCCGGCCCCTAGGGCATGTTGGGTGACCCAGTGAATGGGGTATCTGCCTTGCTGCTCAAGACCTAGCATTGCAAGGAGAGTCTGGGTAGAGCCTGGGTGGCATGCGAGCCTCCCCGGCTCTCCTGGATGGGGAGGGAGGAGAAGCTGGGGTGTCATGCTGTTAAAGAAATGCTGGGTGCGGTGGCTCACACCTGTAATCTCAGCACTTTGGGAAGCTGAGGCAGGTGGATTGCTTGAGCCCAGGAGTTCGAGACCAGCCCGTTCGAGACCAGTTCGAGACCGAAACCCCATCTCTACAAAACATACCAAAATCAACCAGGCATGGTGCATGCCTGTGGTCTCAGCTACTCTGGAGACTGAGGTGGGAGGACTTCTTGAGCTCAGGTGGTTGAGGCTGCAGTGAGCTGTGATTGCGCCACTGCACTCCAGCCTGGGCGATAGAGACCCCATCTCAAAAAAAAAAAATAATAGTAATAATAACTAAAATAAATAAATAAGCATTAGGCTGGGCGCAGTGACCCAAGTCTGTAATCCCAGCACTTTGGGAGGCCAAGGTCGGTGGATCAGGAGTTCAAGGAGGTCAGGAGTTCAAGACCAGCCTGGCCAACATAGTGAAACCCAGTTTCTACTAAAAAAAAAAAAAAAAATACAAAAATTAGCTGGGCGTGGTGGTGGGCACCTGTAGTCTCAGCTACTTGGGAGGCTGAAGCAGGAGAATTGCTTGAACCTGGGAGGTAGAGGTTGCGGTGAGCCGAGATCAGGACACTGCAGTCCAGCCCGTGTGACAGTCTCAAAATAAATAAACAAACAAACAAATAAATAAAGCATCTATCCTTCAGCCATTCGCTAGGCAACTGCTGTTTCCCAGGCACTGTAGCAGGCACTGGGACGCCACCAGTACACACAGCTGAGTCTAATGGGGCAGGTGGACGAATAATCAGGTACTTACAGCAGCGTAAGTGATCAGACAGCAAGGGCTTCTCTCAGTTCACCTGGGAGGACATGGAAACTATACCTAGCTTGGACTTTGGAGCTGGAGATCAGGGAAGGCTTCCTAGAGGAAGTAGTGTTGAAGCTGAGACTTGGAAATTACATAGGAATTAAGCTGGGATCTGTGAGTTCAAGGTTTGCTAGCCAGGATGTCAGACACCCTCCCAAGCAGCTCCAGGAGCCTGAGCGCTGAGGACAGCTCTGACCAGCCGTCTCCCGCCCTGGGCAGGCCTGCAGGATCTGTTCCAGGCCCCGGACCTGCGTGGGATCTCCGACCAGAGCCTGGTGGTGTCTGGCGTGCAGCATCAGTCCACCCTGGAGCTCGGCGAGGTCGGCGTGGAGGCGGCCGCGGCCACCAGCATCATCATGTCCCGAATGTCCATGTCCTCCTTCAGCGTGAACCGCCCCTTCCTCTTCTTCATCTTCGAGGATACCATGGGCCTTCCCCTCTTCGTGGGCAGCGTGAAGAATCCCAACCCCAGCGCGCTGCGGGAGCCCAGGGAGCAGCAGGATTCCCCGGCCAGCAAGGACTTCCCCCCAGGCCGAGACAAGGACTTCAGCCCCGACTTGAAACTGGCGCCCCGCTTTGAGGAGGATTACCCCCAGCTTCACAGCCCCAAGTGAGGGGCCGTGGTCACCGCGTCCAGAGTCCCGGCCTGGACCAGCCTCTCCACTCATGTGACTTTTTCCGACCTGCTTTGTGGCACTGGGGCAGGGGCTGGGGGCCCTGGGGGGACAGTCTGAGAGAGGCCATTCTTTCCTGACACCTCTTGGGGAGCTTGGGGTGGGGGGCCGGGAGGAGGGCAGGCATTGGAGGATGGGAGGGAGCCCAGAGGTGTCCTGCGCTGGGCTCTGGGTGGAAGAGAGGGAGGTGTGCTTCCAGTTCTCCCAGGAGACAGGTGAGCTGCCCCCCAGGTCAGCTGGGACACCCCACTTTTGTTTACCAAAGAGAAAGGGAGGGGGAGAGGGCTGCCTCTGGGCTTGTCCTGGGAGACCCAGGACAGGGCGAGGAGCGACAGGCCCTGGGGGTGGCTCGCTCCGTGTGGAATGCGGGTCCCGCACAGCCTGGCCGGGGCCTAACCTGCCCAGTGCTCCTCAGCCTCCACCCCACCCACGCCTGTGGCCCCAGGCTTCCCACTGGCCCTTGAGATGCCAGCACTGCCGGGATTCCCTTCCTTCCTCTCCTGCCTCCCTCCTCTGCCCAGGAGCTCAGGGACTGAGGCAGGAAAGGCCCCATGGGCTCCTTGAGGCTCTTTTTTAAGGTTTTTGTAGTGATTTTTATGCCACCTGAATAAAGAATGCATGGGCTTGGCTGGTTTGATGTCACCGTTCTGGGCATGGGTGGGACAGGCGGGGAAGGCAGGGAGGCAGCCGCAGGGTGGGCTGTGCTGAGGGATGCTGGGCCCAGCAGGGGCAGCAGCCCGCTCCGTGCCACGTTGAGCCTCTGGCCGCTCGCCAGACGTTCTCCAACTCATGGTCCCCTCTGACCTCACTGGCCCTCCCCAGGGACCCCTCCACGCCAGCCTGCTTCTGTTCCTGGCCTCTTCTCTCTTTGCCTTGGGCAGTGGCAACCAGGGCAGCTCAGAATAGCGCCAACCTCCCAGTTGGGGAGAAGAACTGGCAATTAGGGAGTTTGCGGAGTTTCTAATTACACAGTGGCCCCTCTGCCAGGAGCTGGCGCCCGCCAGCCGGGGGCAAGCTGCCGGGAGTACCCGGCTCCATCTGGAGACAGTCAGTGCCTGAGGATTTGTGGGGAGCAGGTGGGGAAACCTTGGCACAGGGCTGACACCTTCCTCTGTGCCAGAGCCCAGGAGCTGGGGCAGCGTGGGTGTGGTGTCCGCGTGGGTGGGCACGCTCCCCTGCTGGGGGCGCAGCCACCTGGAGCCCTAATGTGCGGTGGTTAAGAGCCAGTCGGAGAGACCTGGCATGGAATCTTGCTTCTTGCAAACGAGCAGTGTGGAGAGATGGGATAATGAATAAACAGGAGAAACACATGGTGTATCAGAGGATAGCTGCCGGAAGAGCTCTGCTGAAGAGTGAAGCAGGGAAGGGGCAGGGCCAGGAGGAAAAGCCTCGTGTGAAGGTGATCTGGGTGCAGGGACTTGCAGGGGATGATGGAGGACACTCGGGAGGTCCCGGCGAGGAGCGGCCTGGCAGCTGCCTATGCAGAGGGCCTGCGGAAGAGCTCGGGAGAAGCAGGGATGGGGAGCTGGAGTGGAGGGACTGAGGTGGAGCAGGAGGCAGGCATCAGAGAGGAGCTGGGGACAGATCCTGGAGGTTCTAGGGGCACAATAAACACTGTGACTTTTGTCCTGTCAGTCTGTCTTTTTTTTGAGACTGAGTCTCACTCCGTCCCCCAGGCTGGAGGGCAGTGGCATGATCTCAGTTCACTGCAACCTCCACTTCCCAGATTCAAGTGATTCTCCCGCCTCAGCCTCCCGGGTAGCTGGGAGCGTGCCACCACCCTCAGCTAATTTTTGTGCAGGGTTTTGCCATGTTGGCCAGGCTGATCTTGAACTCCTGACCTCAAGTGATCCACCTGTCTCGGCCTCCCAAAGTGCTGGGATTACAGGTGTGAGCCACTGTGCCTGGCCTGAACTTTCTCTGCCCACCACCTTTTTTTTTTTTTTTTTTGAGATGGAGTCTTGCTTTGTTGCCCAGTGTGGAGTGCAGTGGCACGATCTCGGCTCACTGCAGCCTCCAGGTTCAAGTGATTCTCCTGCCTCAGCCTCCTGGGTAGTTGGGATTACAGGTGTGCACCACCACGCCTGGCTAATTTTTGTGTTTTTAGTAGAGATGGGGTTTCATCATGTTGGCCAGGCTGTTCTCCAACTCCTGACCTCAGGTGATCCACCCGACTCGGCCTCCCAAAGTGCTGGGATTGCAGGCATGAACCACAGTGCCTGGCCAACTTTTGTTCCTTTAAATTTTGTAGGGACATAATAGGTATATATATTTATAGAGTTCATGAGATGTTTTGATACAAGTAGGCAATGTGAAATAAAAATATGGAAGGCTTCACGAATTTGCACATGACCGTTGCACAGGGACCAGGCTCATCTTCTCTACATCACTCCAATTAACGTTAGTATATGCGCTGCCATAGAGAGCACCTGTTTTTGGACTTTTTTTTTTTTTTTTTCTTGAGGCGGAGTTTCGCTCTTATTGCCCAGGCTGGAGTACAATGGCACTATCTCAGCTCATCACAATCCTCTACCTCCTGGTTCAAGTAATTCTCACGCCTCAGTCTCCGACAAGCTGGGATTATAGGCATGTACCACCACGCCTGGCTGATTTTTGTATTATTAGTAAAGAGAGGGTTTCTCCATGTTGGTCAGGCTGGTATCGAACTCCCGACCTCAGGTGAGTGCCTGGAAGTTGGAGAGACCTGGCATGGAATCTTGCTTCTTGCCTCAGCCTCCCAAAGTGCTAGGATTACAGGCGTGAGCCACCACACCCAACCTGAACTTTCTATAAAGGATTCATACAGTCCATGCTCTCTAATGCCTGGCTTCTTTCATTCAACCTTGTGCTTGTGAGACCCATCTGTGTTATTGTGGATGGTGATGATAGTTCATTAAATCAAAGGCTTTTTTATTTTTATTTTTTTTTATTTTTTATTTTTTAGACAGAGTCTGGTTCTGTTGCCTGGCTGCAGTACAATGGCACAATCTTAGCCCACTGCAACCTCCACCTCCACCTCCTGTGTTCCGGTGATTCGCGTGCCGCAGCCTTCTGAATAGCTGGGATTATAGGCACATGCCCCCACACCCGGCTAATTTTGTATTTTTGGTAGAGACTGGTTTTCACCTGTTGGCCAGGCTGGTCTCAAACTCCCGACCTCAAATGATTCACCCACCTCAGCTTCCCAAAGTGCTGGGATTACAGGCATGAGCCACGTGCCCAGCCACAAAAGTCTTTTTTTTTTTTTTTTTTTTTGAGACGGAGTTTTGCTCTTGTTACCCAGGCTGGAGTGCAATGGCGCGATCTCGGCTCACCGCAACCTCCGCCTCCTGGGTTCAGGCAATTCTCCTGCCTCAGCCTCCTGAGTAGCTGGGATTACAGGCACGCGCCACCATGCCCAGCTAATTTTTTGTATTTTTAGTAGAGACGGGGTTTCACCATGTTGACCAGGATGGTCTCGATCTCTCGACCTCGTGATCCGCCCGCCTCGGCCTCCCAAAGTGCTGGGATTACAGGCTTGAGCCACTGCGCCCGGCCCACAAAAGTCTTTTAATTGTGGAGTGTGGTGATCTGAGCCAAGCTCTGGGGGAACGAACTGGACAAGGTCAAAGGTGGGAGTGGGCAAGAGACTTGGGGGCATGGCCAAGTATGCTGGCTTCGGAAATGGAGGAAGCCGGTCGGAATTCAGATGCAGATGAACATAACATTTGTGGATGGATTGTGTGGGAGATGAGAGACACACTCCAGGACTGTGGGGTTCATTATTTAAATTCCTGTGCTTTTGTCTTGAGAAAATTGGTAGGTACTGGCCGGGTGCGGTGGCTCACACCTGTGATCCCAGCATTTTGGGAGGCCGAGGTGGGTGGATCATCTGAAGTCAGGAGTTCGAGACCAGCCTGACCAACATGGAGAAACGCCATCTTTACTAAAAATACAAAATTAGCTGGTCGTGGTGGTGGGCACCTGTAATCCCAGCTACTTGGGAGGCTGAGGCAGGAGCTTGAACCCGGGAGGTAGAGGTTATGGTGAGCTGAGATCACGCCATTGCACTCCAGCCTGGGTAACAAAAAAAAGACTTTTTTCCATTTCAAAAAAAGAAAAAAAAAATGGGTAGGTACCAGTGCCTTTTACTGAGATGGGGAGCAGAGTGGGGACAGATTTTAGATTGCACTGAGGATGTCATTTGGGCATGTGATGGTGGACACGCCGCACTAATACAGCGTGATCACATGTACCAGCTTGCGCAGGACAGCTCAAGTTGTGTTTGTGGTTTTAGCTTAACTAATAGAATCCCTGCTGACTGAGTGCGGTGGCTCACGCCTGTAATCCCAGCACTTTAAGAGGAGGATAACTGAGCTCAGGAGTTCAAGACCAGTGTGGGCAACAAGGTGAGACCCTGTCGCTACCAAAAATACAAAAACATTAGGTTGGCATGGTGGCACGTGACTGTGGCCCTAGCTACTCAGGAGGCTGAAGAAGGAGGATCGTTTGAGCCTGGGAAGTTGAGGCTGCAGTGAGCCGTGAATGCACCACTGCACTCCAGCCTTGGTGACGGTGCAAAACCCTGTCTCAAAAAAAAAAAAAAAAAAAAACAAAGCCAGGCGCGGTGGCTCAAGCCTGTAATCCCAGCACTTTGGGAGGCGGAGGCGGGCGGATCACGAGGTCAAGAGATCGAGACCATCCTGGTCAACATGGTGAAACCCTGTCTCTACTAAAAATACTAAAAATTAGCTGGGCATCGTGGTGCATGCCTGTAATCCCAGCTACTCAGGAGGCTGAGGCAGGAGAATTGCCTGAACCCAGGAGGCGGAGGTTGCGGTGAGCCGAGATCGCGCCGTTGCACTCCAGCCTGGGTAACAAGAGCGAAACTCCGTCTCAAAAAAAAACAAAAAACAAAAAACAAAAAACAACAAAACAAAACCAACAACCCTCCTTTTAGCTCTTAGACGTGTTTGTGTTAGCTGGGTGTGGTGGCTCATGCCTGTAATCCCAGCACTTTGGGAGGCTGAGCGGGGAGGACTGGAGACCAGCCTGGAAACAGAGCAAGACTCCATTTCTATTAAAAGAAAAAATAAATCTTCATGTTTGCGTGATAATTTATAGGTTTATCTTCCCTGTTTTGCATCCATGTCAAATGGTAGGAGGAGAATGGCCAGAGTTATGGGCTTGGGCTTATTTTTTTTCTTTAAGACAGAGTCTCCCTGTGGCCCAGGTTGGAGTGCAGTGGTGCGATCTGCCACCCAGGTTCAAGCAATTCTCCTGCCTCAGCCTCCCTAGGAGCTGGGATTACAGGTGCCCACCACCACACCTGGCTAATTGTTGTATTATTAGTAGAAATGGGATTTCACTGTGTTAGCCAGGATGGTCTCAATTTTCTGACCTCGTGATCTGCCCACCTTGGCCTCCCAAAGTGCTGGGATGACAGGTGTGAGCCACCATGCCTGGCCACTTTTTTTTTTTTTAGAGACAAGGTCTTGCTCTGCGGTGCAGGCTGGATGGAGGGCAGTGGTGTGATCACAGCTCACGGCGGCCTTGACATCCTGGAATCAAGCCCTCTTCCTGCCTTGGCCTCCCACATGCTGGGATTACAGGCATGAGCCACTGTGCTTGGCATCTATTCATCTTTAATGCCAAGTAGGCAACTGAATATTCCGACTAGGGATAGAATTGTTTACGTGGGGTACTTAGACACACTCGAAGTCATGGAACTGGTGGAAATCACCGAAGGGGTGGTATAGAAGAGGGGTCCCAAGATCAAGCCAGTAAAGGAGGCAGGAAAGGTAAGATGTGTGAGCTGGCAGAAAAGGGGAAGAGTGTGGAGAGCCAGGGTGTCAGGGAGGGATACCCCATTGCCTCCTGCCAGTCCGCATGAGGTCACCCACGAACTTAGAGACAGCGATTTCAGGGGAGAAGTGGCACAGACACAAGTCTGGGCTTGGTGGAGATGGGAGCCGAGGCAGCGTAGACGTAAGAGGAAACTAACTGCTCCTTGCAGAGTGGCCTGAGGAGCACTGGGAATGGGCAGTGGTTTTAGGGGGTTCAGCGTCAAGGAAGCGTCTTTTAAAGAAGCGGGAGGGTCGGGCACGTGGCTCACGCCTGTCATCCCAGCACTTTGGGAGGCTTGGGCAGGTGGATCACCAGGAGTTCGAGACCAGCCTGACCAACATGGTGAAATCCCCTCTCCTAAAAATACAAAAATGAGCTGAGCATGGTGGTGCACGTCTGTCATCCCAGCTACCTGGCAGGCTGAGGCAGAGGAGAATCACTTGAATTCTGGAGGTGGAGGTTGCAGTGAGCCGAGATTGCACCACTGCACTCCAGCCTGGGCAACAGAGTGAGACTGTCTAAAAAAAAAAAAAAAAAAAAAAGGAGGAAGTTTGAGGGCTGAGGAAGGAGCCTTCAGCGCAGACACGCTGGTCACGCAGGAGACGGGCTGCCTGCGGTGGTGAAGTCCCTGCCAGGAATCGGATACAGCTGAACAAAAGAGAACTCTTCTTTGTTATTTTAAAATTTGTATTTATTATTATTTTTTTTTATAGAGATAGAGACAAGGGTTTTCACCATGTTGCCCAGGCTGATTTCCAACTCCTGGCCTAAGAGTGCTGGGATTATGGCATGAGCCACCACACCTGGCCCAGAACCCTTACTAAGGATTTATTTAAATTATTTACTTATTTGTGAATATTTTGTTCACTGGTTCACAACTCAAACGCAGCAAAGCCTTCCTCTCATTCTGATTCCCAGTCACCGGACTCCACGCTTGGGATGCAGCGTTTTTAATCTCTCCCTTGTATCCTTTTCGAGATAGTGTTATATTTTAAAAAGCAAATACAGGCCGGGTGTGGTGGCTCACGCCTGTAATCCCAGCACTTTGGGAAGCTGAAGCAGGGGCTCACCTAAGGTCAGGAATTTGAGACCAGCCTGGCCAATATGGTCAAACCCCGTCTGTACTAAAAAAAAAAAAAAAAAAAAAAAAAAATTAGTTGGGCCTAGTGGCAGGTGCCTGGAATCCCAGCTACTGAGGAGGCTGAGGCAAGAGAATTCTTGAACCTGGGAGGCGGAGGTTGCAGTGAGCCGAGATGGCACCACTGGATGCACTCCAGCCTGGGCGACAGAGTGAGACTGTCTCAAAAACAAAACAAAACAAAAACAAACAAAAAGGCTAATACAAACACACATATACAATAGACAACATTGTAAACATTTTATTTTTTTAGCAAAGACGTGGTTTCACCATGTTGGCCAAGCTGGTTTCAAACTCCTGACCTCAGGTGATCAGCCCACTTCGGCCTCCCAGTGTTAGGATTCAGGCCTGAGCCACCGCACCTGGGCTAAAACTGTCAACATTTTAGAAGAAAGTATAGAATCCCTTTGTAATCTTGGGGAAGAAGAGATTTTTTTTTTTTTTTTTTTTTTTTTTTTTGAGACG